AATATATATTAAAAAGAGAAGAATAGTAAAAGACTTCTAAACTGCCTATGTAGAAATCTCCAAGAAAATAACCCATAAAACTAATGCAATATTTCAATAAGGCAGTAGGATTCAATATTACTATAACAGTTAGGAATTATATTGCAGTATCTGGTGACTTAAACAAATGAGAGAGATGTTCTCATTTAAAAGAAGTCATCAAGGACTCAGGATCCTTCTTTCTTTCTACTCCATCATCCTCAATAAGATGCTGCTGGGATCTTTTTTTTTTTTGTGAGGAAGATTGTCCCTGAGCTAACATCTGTGCCAATCTTCCTTTATTTTGTACGTGGGATGCCACCACAGCATGGCTTGATGAGCAGTGCGTAGGTCCACGCCCGGGATCAAACCTGCGGACCCAAGGCCACCAAAGCAGAGCGTGCAAACTTAACCACTACGCCACCTGGCCGGCCCCAATAAGATGCTGCTGGAACTCCAGTTATCACATCCTAGTTCCAGGAAGGCAGGATCAGAGCAAGGGGAAAAAAGACACTCTTCCTCCTAAGTCAGTTCTCTTAAAGTTTTCCTGGAAGCCCCCACTCAATAACTTCTGCCACCTCTAGCTACAAAAGAGGTTGGGAAATACAGTGTTTTAGCTGGGCCTTAGGGGAGAATGTGGATTAGACAGGCACCCAGCAGTCTATACTCTAAGGATCAGCTTTCCCTCACACCAGCAAAACACATCAAAAATGTGATGGGAAAAAAAATCCTATTTGCAGTAGCAACGAAAACTGAGATGCTTTGAGAATAAACCTAGCAAGAAAAGCACAGGAAGCTATATGAAACATGGCTGAAAGACAAACTAAGAATTGAAAAAAGAAAGACATAACATGCTTCTAGATGAAAAGACTTGATAAAAATGACTTTTCTCTACAAATTATTCTCTAAATTTGATGCAATCTTACATTTTCAACATATTTACGAGCTTGATAAAATGGTTCTAAAGTTCATCTGAAATTTTCCGCATACCACAAAACTATCACGGTTGGCTGGGAATAAATAGGCAGATAAACTAATGGAACAGAAGAGTTCAGAAACAGATCTCTGTTTATATGGAAATTTACTAGATAATAAAAGAGGTATTTCAAATCAGTAGAGAAAAAAATGAACTGTTCTCTACCTGTATTATCCAGCGTCACAGATGTTAACCACAACTTTCTATTTATGAACTTAAATACAATTCAGTTCCTGGGAGCACTGGCCATATCTTGAGTACTCAGAAGGCACAGATGGCTAGTTGCTGCTGCATTGGACTGCACAGATACACATTTTCATCACTGCAGAATGTTCCCTTGGACAGCATTGCTCTAGATGGTGAGGGGACACCTGAATACCTACTTAGGAAAACAGATCCCTAATTCCAGACCTTGGTACTTTTTTTTTTAAACTCGCCAGGTAATTTTAATATACAGCCAGGGTTGCAAACTACTGATGTAGATGACAACCCTTCATGTAATTGACAAAGATTCAGCTAAACTATTTCTGATTTTTCCAGAGTAGTAGTCTTGGGCTCTCTCACTTGTGATTGTTGTGTTTATACCATTCAGCTAATTCATTTCAGTAATGAAAGTGCCAGCTTAGAACACCTTCCTGTTTCTTTTCAAGGCGGTATCCTAGATTTTGCTCCCAATTGTGTCTGTGCCCTTCGGGTGCTATTTGAGGGTATTTTCCCCCACGCTGTGTGCACAGTGTACCTTCCATGGCCTGTGAGCTGGGTGGGGCAGGGATACTCTGAAGTGGTGTCTGGGAAGGTAACATTATAGACCCCTAACAGATGCCTTTAATCTTTTCTTTGCTTATTTATTGAAATCCATACCAGGGAAAAAATATTCTCTTTGTTTTCCAGTATGAATTGATAACTTGCCAAGGTCTTTTCTAAATTTAGGAACTTTTCCTACTCGAGTCCTTTTTGAGAATATTTTATATTGATTTACCTTCTAAATATGTTCTGTGTCCGACACAGATGTGAGTTACATGAATATTATGCATACATACAATGCTTTTGATGCTCTTCTAAGTAATGCTATTAAAGGCTTTTCACAAAGATTCAGATATTTTTAAGTACTTCTACGTTAGGATGAATACTTCTTGGAGGACTTTGCCATGATTAATCTGGTTAAATCCTTCATTGATGTAGCAGCAGTTTTCTTATCCTAGAAGCATGGCCTCTCCAGACTCCAGAGCCAGGCATCAGACCCATGTGCACTGTGAAAAGGAATTGTGTGAATCCCATCCTCCTGCCGTATTCAGAAGATATCCAAGAAACATATGGCATCTGTTTGGCATTGAAAATTGATTTCTTGTTAAGTTTGTAGGTCTTCTGTGTGCCTAGCAAGTGATTCCTGACCTGTTTTCCAATATACCACCTAATCCTCAGTGATTTCAGGAAGCTTCACATTTCTTAAATTCACATAATTTAAATTTATTTAAATGTATAAATATGTGTATTTGCCGTGTAACACTGTGATGGAGACCATAGCTCCAGAGAGGTTTTAGGACATGTCATTAGACTTCAGAAGGGCACTGGAATAATTAGAATACTCTGCATAAATCATTAAAAACTACACCTAAGATACTTTGAATTTAACTTAAAAAATAAAACCATGTGCAGTAAGCTAGTCATTCAAAAACTACAATAGAAATTAAATATGTTTTACCAGACTGTAGGACATAAAAGTGATTTTGAGTCTCCATTAACTTTGGTAGACCATTAGACCTGTGTGATTTAGCTGAAATAGTTTATTGGAAATCATCAAATGCTTACATGCGAAGCCAACAAAATACAGCATTTAGTAGTTTTTTTGTTTTAATTCCCAATCTTAGTAAAACTTAAGCAGAAAAAGATCACTGTCTTCCTGTTTAAGGAATGTTTTAAGTAATCAGATGATTATATTGGATCTAGCTGTTCTTTTTTTTTTTAATTTTTTTCCCCCAAAGCCCCAGTAGATAGTTGTATGTCATAGTTGCACAGCCTTCTAGTTGCTGTATGTGGGACGCGGCCTCAGCATGGCCGGAGAAGCGGTGCATCGGTCTGCACCCGGGATCCGAACCCGGGCCGCCAGCAGCGGAGTCCGCGCACTTAACCGCTAAGCCACGGGGCCGGCCCTGGATCTAGCTGTTCTGAAGAAGTGCAATGTTGGGTGACTTTTCCCCCAGAATATTCTGTGGAAATAGGAGTTTTCCTAGGAGACCTCCGTACGACCATGTGCGTATGCCGTATTCCTCAGCCTCCAGGGTGGTACCATGGATACTCAAGAAGCAGCCCAGGAAAACTGTACTCTTTGTGCACAGCCTGGAACCAATACTTCATTCTCAAAAATGAAGTCACTCTAATAGGGACACCCTGACTTGAAATAAGGCCTGAGGTTGTGGTATCTGGTGCAGTGTTCTTTAAGGCACAAGTTTAAGAGACTCTCTGTCTTGGAAGTGTCTAGCACAGGCAGTAGGTGCTTGTTGCTGGTGTCTAGGTGGAGAGGCCAGCAGAATATTCCATGCTTAATGTTTCCACTGTGGTGAGATCTCTTTAGTTCTTTAGTTCCAAAGTTCTGTCAGAACTCTTCATGTATCACTGGCATCTTCACACACCTGCATCTTTGACTACCAACAAGATAGAGTTAAAAAGAACTAAAGACCTGCTATGAGCCCTGTTCAGTTCTAGAGGCTGTGATCCTGCTCTCTATGGTTTAGGAATTCCAGGTGAATGGCTACTCAGAAAATAGTATTGGCTAACTATTAAACTGTTTATCATTCAGAACTCTAAAAGCTTTCTAATAGTTGATGTATTATTTCCTAGGGACATTCCAGCTATATCACACACCTTGACTGGTCCCCAGACAACAAGTATATAATGTCTAACTCGGGAGACTATGAGATATTGTACTGTAAGTATGAATGATCATGTATGGCTGAGATGTGTCTGTCAGGGGTGCAAATGCACAGGCTGCGTGGAATTTGAAATGTGCAGAGAATGCATGCTGGCCCCTCTAACCTGACAAAACGTATGTTACTCTGAGCTAAGGAATGAGAATTTCAAGGTGTTTCATTTCTCCAAGAAAGTAACGAATTAATTTAAATGTGTAGACATGTAGTCATAAGAAATTACTCAGGGAGATTGATGGTCCTCTGAATGTTTTGTATTTAATTTTTCCTGGAGGCAGGATGGAGTATAATGGATGGGCGTTTATGCTTTTTAAAGAAAAAGAACAACTTCAGTGGGAAACAATTTGTAGTTCTATAAACCCTGTTAAAGTAAACATTTTCTTTTCCTTTTTAAATGTGTCTTAATGTTTTTCAGTGTATGGATTATAAGTACAAGTAAACGTGGCTAGTTTGAATCAAGATGCACTTTCACATGCATTTGTACACAAGCAGTATGATTATACTTCCTGTTTCTAAATTTAAAGGGGACATTCCAAGTGGCTGCAAACTAATTAGGAATAGATCGGATTGTAAGGACATCGATTGGACAACATACACCTGTGTACTAGGCTTTCAAGTCTTTGGTAAGGACATGGTACCTAATGGGAAAAGGCGGTTTGTGGGATTTTTATATATAATATTTACTTAAATTTCTAAATGAAAAATAGTCTACATGTGTTCTTTAGTGTTATCACTATTAATGCCAGATTCAGAGAAATTCAGTGTATTAGGATTGAACCAATATGAGGTTTATTCTTTGCAGAATCCAGCAGACTTTTGGTTCCCAATAAATAAGAAAGACAATTAAAAAGAAAAGAAGTTACATAATAGTACAGATTGCCTTCCTATTTTTTCTCCAAGTGAAAATTAAAGCTTTTAAATTTATAAAGGCATTTTTAAAATAGCAGCTTTATTGAGATATCATTCACACACCATATAATTCACCTATTTAAAGTGTACAGTTTGGTGGTTTTAGCATATTCAGAGTTGTGCAATCATCATCACTACCTTTAGAACATTTTCATCACCCCAAAAAGAAACCTTGTTTGTTCTCTATAGTAGTATTGAACCACAGGAGGCCAGCATCTCCACCCTTATATATTCCATAGTTGTGATCTAGCCTAATAGAGGTTTTTGCTAATTATGTTGAACATGATCACCAGTGCCTCATAATGATTCAGAATAATTAAATTTGCTGTGTCTTATCTTTGGAAATAAATAATAGTTCCAGGAAAATTCTATGGGATAGCATGGTAGACTAGCGGATGGCCTATGCATTTCCATTAAGAAAGAATCTCTATGAGGTTTTCTTTGAGGTGCCTACCTGAAAGGGAGCAGTAAAAAAAAGTGTATAAATTTTACAGTTTACCCAGAGTCCACTTTGAAGAATTAGTGCTATGGCTTTGTTTCTGTGCCTTGCTATACAAGTGACTGAGAACCTCCCCTCCAGCTAGAAACTTAAAAATTGAAGAGCTTATTGCTGAGGTGAGTCAAGCTAAAACTAAAATTATTTATTAGCACCACCTGCTGGTTACCAGTGAGTACTTCTGAGTCTTTAAATTTTTCATTTTGAGGCTTTTTTGGTTTAATTTTACTATTAGTTAGATTTTGGATAAAATTTCATCATTTGAATGCAGTATTGAGCCACTAAGAAATTTGTAAGGAAAATGTTAGCAGCTAAGAGTTTGAACACAGATGAAAATTAATAAGATTCTAAAATCAAATAAACATATGTATCATCACAGTTATATCTTTCAGGCTAATTTTTCTACACCCCTGTGTTTCTGTATCAAAGGTGTCTGGCCAGAAGGATCTGATGGGACAGATATCAATGCACTGGTGCGATCCCACAATAGAAAGGTGATAGCTGTTGCTGATGACTTTTGCAAAGTCCATCTGTTTCAGTATCCCTGCTCTAAAGCAAAGGTAAAATCAATTTAACAAAAATTAGTGTTATAGGGCTTTTGTTTAGGGATAATTTTGTGTCAGTGGTGAGAAGATATTTGTAAGGTTACTAATTACTGTCCATGATACTGCAATGCACAGAGGGAGAGGAGGGCCATCTGTAAATCTCCAAGCAGGCATTGCTTATCTTCTGCTTCCTCATTAAGGTTAAGGAGAAGACGGTAACAGAAGGCAGCTGATGATGTTGTATTCATTTTTATGTATTGTCCAATTGTTTTTCATTTTTGGCAGTGTTAAATTTCTCCTAAACATTAAAATATTTTATTTGTTACACGTATCATCAACATTATAAAACTCATGGAACTGTTTCCTAAATCACCTGTAATCCTGCCAACCTAGTAAATTCTCCCCTAACCATCTCAATCAAATGGTTACTAAATTCTCACAAGTATACTAACCTGACATCCAGAAGAGACAGTTTTAGTTATTTTTTTAAACATATAGTCTGAAAGTATAGATGTCTAATTATTCTGTTTTGTTTCTTCCATATAAATAGATATTAAAAGGAAATTACTGCTAGCTTTATTCCTCAGATTTGATGACTTGTGGCTTTGATTTGAATTACCTGTTTCATAAGCTGAATGACCTCCCTCACCTACATTGCTATAAAGAATGAGCATAATTTTCCTGTCTGATTTATTTCATATAGGCTCCCAGTCACAAGTACAGTGCCCACAGCAGCCATGTCACCAATGTCAGTTTTACTCACAATGACAGTCACCTCATTTCAACTGGTGGAAAAGACATGAGCATCATTCAGTGGAAACTTGTGGAAAAGTTATCTTTGCCTCAGAATGAGATTGTAGCAGATACTACTCTAACCAAAGCCCCCATCTCTTCCATTGAAAGTGTCATGCCATCTGATACTCCCACACCACCTCCTTCCCAGCCCTTAAATGAGACAGCTGAAGAAGAAAGTAGAATAAGCAATTCTCCCACGCTTCTGGAGAATAGCCTGGAACAGACTGTGGAGCCCAGTGAGGACCACAGTGAGGAGCAGAGTGAAGGGGGCAGTGAAGACCTTGGTGAGCCTATTTATGAAGCGCCATCCAATGCGATAAGTGAGGAGCAGAGTGAAGTCGCTCTTACTGAGGACCAGCAAGATCCTTCACCCCTACCTTAACACCAGGCCTTCAGTGCAACTCTGTTTTCTCTTTCAACTGCATGTGATCTTGTGATAGTTCAGATAACAGGCCAGGAAGTGATAGAGAATCACTATTGATTGAGATGTTGGTTTCCACATGATTTGTTTCCTTCAATGGTCTTGAATCTTCCATCTCTCAAATGCAGCCGACCTAAAGGTTCAGTTTGGTGGGTGTTGAAAATTAACCAGACTTAGTAGTAGGAAAAGACTGAAACATTAATTGTCTCAGAAATTACTGTGTATGTAAGTGATAATGGTGTAAATACTGGAAACAGAAACAGCAGTTGTATAGATTTACGATAAACCCCTTGTTATCTGAACATGTTTTCTTCAGGAACGACCAGAGGCATCACAAACACTGTTACTTATCTACTGGCTCAGACTGTGCTAATTTTTTTTTCCTGATGCAGAAAAAGAAATCAGAAAAAAAAAAAAAAAACTCTCTTAGTGAGATATCCTCCCATCCCAAATGTCTAATGGAAATTTTTTAGTTAGGAAAAATTTCAGTATTGCCATGAGCAGTGGTGTTGCCTTCTTGAATAATAACGCCGTTGCCTACACTACCGGTAGATGTCCAGGTGTGCTTGTTAGTCTCCTATCTAGGTGCTGCCTTTTCTAAGTCATAATGAGGAACAGTCCCGTAATTTCTTGTGTGCAAATCTATTTTATCTTAGAACTAAGAAAGCAGTGGTTTGTTAAAGAGCTTTTAATGTATATTAAACCATTGATACTCAGAAATAATGGATTCCTCCAAGGATTCCTTTACTGGCCTAAACATTTTCTAATGTTTGGCATTCAAGTGAATGGAAGGAAAAAACCGCATGCCTATAAAACTAAACTGTAATAATTACTGGCTAATTTTAGCTTAGCCTTCATCATAATTCGTTCTTTCAATAATAGGAGAAATATAAATACAGTTAGTTTAAATGATTGAATTGGTGCTTGAAATTCAATGGTTTAGTTGTAACTTTTATACAGATTAATTCTATTGAGGGGTAAGAGACTCAACAAATTGCAAATTCTTTTTTATAGAAGTGTGAATAACAGTCACAGTAATTTTTTATAAATTGCATACTTAATAGACTTGCTATATATGGTAATTTTTCTCTGGTGGAGTTGCTATAAGCCTTGCAATTCTAATGTGGCTATCCTCTCCTATTTTAGGCAATGCATGTATTATTATGCATTGGATAGTTGTTTTTTTAAGTTTTGTCAGATGACTATGTTTTTAAGTACGTGTTTCCTACTTTAAAAATAATTACTGACAAATATGCATTTCCTATGTATTTGTTTATACTTTGATTATAAAAAAAAAACTTTTTGATTTATTTTTTAACTTGCTGCATTGTTTTGATATCCTTTTTTTTGGTTAGATGTTTAGAAACTTTGGATGAGTTCAGAAGTCTTAAGTATGCAAGTGTTTACGTGATTGTGCCATTCCAGAGTGCATCAGAACTGTCATTCCCTTCTAGTATCTTCTCAGGAGTAATACAAATCAGGTATTTCATCATCATTTGGTAATATACAAACTCCAGTGAACTCCCCAGGACACTCACATTTATATTCACATGCTGTATGTAAAGGTGTGGGTATGTGTGAAGAGGTGAGTGTAGACCCTTACTCTGTGTTTGTGTGTATCTCTATATAAGAAGATATACGCCACATTGAAGATACTCAGTGTATAATCTCTATGTGTATAGATATATGTCCATGTATCTCTCTTTCCTTTTGTTTACAACTGTTCAAAAAAAAAAAAAAACCTCAAAGTAGTTCTCTTCAAAAGAAGAGATATAGATTCCAAGCAACCCATCTTTTTTCAGTATGTTATGTACATAATTATCAGAGAGCATCAGCAAGTATCAGGCGTATATATTTGCCTATTAGCAGTGGTGATTAAATCATCAAGTCAGCGTATGCTACTCCCTGCAAGAAAAATACTATGAGATGAACAAGAAATTTTTCTAGGACAAAAACATTTCAGTGGAGGATACAACTCTCCATGATAAGCAGGGAGTTTATTTGGGGACATCAGTTACCTTTGGGGTTGCTGTGTACAATGAGATTTATAATCGTGATACTCTTGGGTGGTAGTTTCAAAAAGACACTACTAATACGCAGAAAGCGTTCCAGTGCTCTATTGCTGGCAACTACTGTTTAACAGTCAATTAAATCTGTGATAATGGTTGGAATGGGTGGGATTATGAAATTGTAGATGTTTTTAGAAAAACTTGTGAATGAAAATGAATCCAAGCGTTTCATGTGAAGATGTTGAGCCATTTCTATCATGCATTCCTGTCTCATGGCAGAAAATTTTGAAGATTAAAAAATAAAATAATCAAAAGCTTTCATTTGTCTCTCTAAATGTGTCTTAAGTCTTTCTTCATATACACTGCTAGTTTCCATGACTGTCCAGTTAGCAGAAGACACGACAATTCAGAAGAACACATTTATCAGTTGACCACTGCTGCTGCTGTGGATACAACCATGCTGGTGGTAACAAACTCCATCTCATAATTTTAAAGGAAATTACTTCTGATTTCTGCTTCCATTTAATAAGGAAATAGCTTCACTTTAATTTATTTCATGTCTACCCTTCCTCTAATGTTTAACGTTGGACAATCCTGATGATCCTGGTTACCTGCCTGACCCAACTCCACTGCCTGCTGCTGCCTCCCTGGTGTCAGCCTGCATGAAGTCCTTGAACTCAGTAGGACCCTGCATTCCCTGCTTTCTCCATCTGTCCCATGTTGCTTAGTGACACAGATCCTCTGTAACCAGAACCATAAATTGGCTGCTACAAATTTTTCTTTATGAAAAATTAGATTCCGTGTTCAATACATCCCTCAGTTTTACCATCATTGAAATTATGGGATTTTCGTTAATACCTCATTCATCTTTGGTGACTATGAATATATGTTCACAGCCACTCACATATACTAACCCAAGCGAGGCTGTCCTGGGATAGGAATTCCTGTTTCACAATTCTGAGACAAAAAGCTGATGGGCACTAGAACAGACCCACTAAACAATGTGGTTTTTCTTAAAAAAGGAGATCCAAAAAAGGAACTTGTTTATGGGGAAATAATGATGAATTACATTTTGGACACCCTAAGGTATTGGTGTAACTTCTAGAAGGAACCAGGTTTCCAGCCCAGAGCTGGACCTGAAATGAGAGTAAGGACAAGAACATGTTTTTAGGACAAAGCAGACAGACTGAACAGCAGGAATGTAGGACTCGTCTCAAGAAGAGCTGCCGCTGGAGCAGCTGTGTGGCCAAGCATGCCCCAAACATGCTGGCTCTCAGGTAGTGATGTGGGGAGTGTCGCCCCATAGGCGAGGAGATGGGTC